GCTTATAGCTGAGCTGATAATTATCACATACTTATTATCGTATAATATATAAACCACACTTAAATCTATGCGATAATAGTTGTGAAACTGCAATTGACTCTTCAAGAACGAACAATGATATGTTGTGTTACTGGTTCCATTTCCACGAGCGTGGGGCCGCGGTGGCCAAGTGGTTAAGGCGCCTGACATTCTGCTACCACTAGCCCTCCACCACTGGGTCGCGGGTTCGAGGCCTATACGTGGGGCAGTCGCTAGGTACTGACTGTAGGTCGGTGGTTTTTCTCCGGGAATTCCGGTTTTCCTCCACCACCAAAACCTGGCACGTCCTTATATGACCATAGCTGTTTATATAATAGGACGTTTAACACACACAAACCAAACCAAATCCACGAGCGCAAACCAAACCAAATCCACGAGCGTGCTTTGAGGATCCCCGTACCACTGCCAAAATCTGTAACTACACATAGGAAACTATTTTTCCGGCATGACTATATTATATCTATGATAACTCATTTCTGAAAATAAAACAATACCTTGTTGGACTTTTATATATATATAAAAAAAAAAAAGTAAAGGTAAAATAAACAAAATATAATCAACAACAGCGGACTAAGGGATTCAGCGGTGCTAGACCGGGAATACAAACCCTGGAATACAGATACTGAGCTACCCAGTCCTTAGTCTCGTTCAACCAGACTCTTTTTGTTTGCGCAAGTTACGCCGATCAGAGATCAAGCATCTGGTTGAACGAGACTACCCAGTCCTGGCCCAACTGTACCACAGTTATAACCAAAACGAAATTAACGGGAGGTAACTGTATATCAGAATTACTAAAAGGCAGTCGGATAGTGATCATTAACTTGAATTTTTAAATAACTTAATTTTCCTTAACCCCAATACTGTTTACAAACAACAACAACAACAACAACAAAATAAAAACAAAACTTTATTTAAAACATTCGTCCAAATTTGGACAAATATTCTTCAAGCCTTATCAAAATTGCCACCACGTGCATATGTCTATCCCATTTAATTTTATTCCAACTTTTTTGGATTGTGGACGAACATATCCAATCGATTATCATGATATTTGTTATTCAATTCTGACATCCTTTTATTGAAATTTAGTACGAAAATATTTGTTACTGTTCACTGGGCCTACTCCTGACAAATTCTAGTCCAATCATAACCCAAGAACATTCATTAATTCTAGTCCAATCAGAACCCAAGAACATTAATTAATTCTAGCGCTTCTGAATCTGACCCGGCGTTGATGAATTTTTCATTTTTGATAATTCACGCTTTTGATTTATCTATGGCCAGGAAAGCTTCCTGCAAAGTTTTATTGAAATCTGTTTAACTGTTTTTGAGAAGAAGTCTAAAACGTAAATAGTTTAAAGATGCATAATGGACAACGACGCACAAAGAACGATAAAATAAGTCACATGAAACTGTGCCTTAGATGACCGAATACTAAAAAAAACCACCGAACAAATCAAGAGTGATGAATTAAATTTCTAAAAGAGATCTTCATTAACGTCTCCTGGTAAAATAATGTTATACAAATATAAACTTTATTATCTAACAACAATTATGAAACAAGTAATTTCAACTTATATTAATCACTCTTGTCTTAGTGTGGGAGGAAACCGGAGTACCCGGAGGTGCTCGGGCAGGTGACCCAAACCTTTCACGTCCGATCAGGGAATCGAACCCCGGCCGCCTTGGTTAAAGGCAAGTGCGCTATCCACTGCACCACCCGACCCCCCAATGATGTTATTTAAGGAATGACCAAGATTTTGTTTTGGTATATACCTTCTATACCAAAACAAAATCTTGGGCATTCTTAATAATTTAATTTAAAAAAGGTAGACAAACACGTTGTAAATGCACAGTTAAAGATTTATTTAATTTTTACGTAAACTAAACAATTGCGCTTAAAAAGAAAAGTTGCGTTGTAATTTTGCATTCTGAAGTGTAAAAAGTAGTTCCGTCTTCAGTTGTTTTTCTTTTTAGGTATATACGATATATACCAAAAAAATTATTATGGGGGCGATAGGCAAAATTAAATTATATCTCACAACACTGTCACGATCGGTCCAGAATAAGTATTATCTAGTGAAGCTGAGATCAAGTGTGTTAATTGTTTATGTAAGGTCATAAAATATAACAAAGACAGATAGCTTAATGACACAACGAAACACCCCAAACACATTTCACGATCTTTTTACAAGATAACTTGTCTTCAGTATTTTTCTCATCTGTGATAACTTTGAACTCAATATCATTTATCGTTGATTTTTAATAATAAAGAAAGTTTCAGTTATTTTGTTCAACGTTTAAACAACGTGATAAGGTAAGATATAATTATTGATACAACTGCGTCCGGAACATTTATCTTTGTGAAGATTTTTCATTAAATAAATTACAAATCCACCCCATTAGAGATCTATTGTTACTTTTCAGTAAGATAATTATGCTGCATATATTCTTAATAAGATATTTCATGTGTCGAACGCAATACCTAGGTACCGTTACATTTTAGTTTACCCTGTTGTCAGAACAATGTGATTAGCTGGCGTGCGAACCTACCGCGTCCAGGACAGACAACAATTAACACCAAGTGTCAACTAACACATAAACGCAATAAAAATCGATAAAACTAGGGCAAAATATGAACAAAGAAAAGATTTACACGGAGAGCTTCGGAAATGTACAAAGGGGATAAGACCGGATGTAAAAGTAGCTGGAGCTTTCGAGTGACCGGCCCTACCATCCGCAGATATCGAGTTTTTATTACTCTAGCTGTTGGTCGGTTGCGAAACCTCGAAAAAAATTCGCACGATCTTTATTTTCGCGAGTATTCGCGTTAATCACTGATCGCGAATTCAACTGTGACGCCAACATATCTGTTTGCATGAAATAAAACGTATACACGTTGCTCAAGGAAACGCAACCTATTGTCCTCGGGATACAACTAAGAAAGATAGGATCGCGAAATTGAGCGAGAGCGAAATTTAGTGTACGCGAAATTTAAATTATGTACAGTAAATACACCGCCCACTCCAATTATACTTAATATCTGTATAATCAGTCAGTATAGTCAACCTTTGGTAATTGTAAAATATAGTCTCCATCTCACTTGATCAAACCGATAATTAAATAACACATTATCATTTTATAAAGTCGCAAAATCTGTATTCGAGCAGTATGCCAATGCAAAAACAAAAAAGTAATAATGTGCTGGTATGGTGATGACAAAGTGTTGGGTCTGACATTATAAAGAGAAATATAAGTTCTGGAGTGTTTACTGAAAAGACACATTAGTCGAATATTACCCCGTCCCAAATCAAATATATTAAGGATCCCCGTACCACTGCCAAACAAGAGTACCGCGGGGCGGAACAAAATACGCCCATCGAAAGCCATATAGTGTTATATACTTTCTTACATTGACATAAGATCTGCATCATTCTGAGAGTGCTTAGCTGACATGCTATAAAAAATGTAGGAGAAAATCTTCGGATAAAAAATCAAATACTGAAATGAACAAAGGGTAATAAATTTTGGAAATATTGTCGAATCAAAATTCTTTTAAGGGAAACACAACTTCATATCATGATTATACTGTATAGCAAGTTTCAAAGAGATCGGTCGAAAAATGTAGGCGGAGATTGCCGGACAAACGAGGTTTACGCCGGACGGACGGACGGACGGACGGACAACGCCATACCATAATACTACCGTCAAATTTGACGGTCGTACAAAACCCCTGTAACTACGCATTAGAGAGTGTTTTCTTTTACGGCAAGACTATAGCTTTGATAAATCATTTCTAAAATATGAAAGAGTCAGAAAGATTGAATTCTGAGTCTAAAAAACAATGGGGATTCGAACTTCAACTTGTTATACTGCCTCTCTCTCTCTAACCAACTAAGTTACCAAGGCAACTAAAGTTCACTAGCTCAAGCGTGCTACAGTTATATCCAACATTAAGGGAGACTACTGTATTTACGAAAACCCCAGAGTGGAGTTCTCTAGTGGTTTGTCTGCAAAGGAACAGTGATCCTTAAATCTACATATAGGCAACATCAGTTCCGTTCCTAACATTTCGTAGGGGAACAACTATCAGCCTAAAAAAGTGCAAAGCTGGGGGAAAACCGGAAGGAAATTGTCCGATCATTAAACGTGACAGCTTAATATAGGACGACAAACTTTAGATATTGAAATATTTGGTCAATTACAGAGGTTGATCTAACTATATCTTTTAAATAAAAGAGTGATACATAAAAGAAATATTCGTCAAAAGGACAAAATATAAAGATTAAAATTTGCGGTCTATTGCAAAATTTGACAATTGTAGTTTTTAATATCCAGGAGTGATACAAAATCTGCTGTCCATTCATCAATGTTATTTGTCCAGTTTTAGGGCAAGATTGTGTAAGTCATTCTACAAATGATTACGATATCAATGCTGCTTATTGATATGTAAAAACAAACATGATTGATTTCCTTAAAAACAAAAAGAAGTTTTAGATATTCTTATATATTTCATAATATATTACTTATCTCAATAGAATTTTAAGACGAGATTTTAACATTTCTATACGATAAGTGGAAACATATACCGCATACAGTTCGACCTCTATCATCATTACTTGGTCTATGATTCAGGAAAACTATAATCAGCAAACTTAAACAACTTTTCAGGTCCTCATTTTTTTAATTAAGAACGGATAAACATGAAGTACCAACATCAACGAAGAGTTAGCCAAATTTGAGAACGATCTGATACATTAATTTTCAGTTTCAGCATACGTACGCTGTCTTGAAATATCGTCATAAAACTGCGCGCAATCAGCTTTAAAACGGCAACCACTTATACCAGTAGTTTACCGGTAATCGGTTTGTTGTTGCTAGAGTGACAAGGCATATTTCATAACGTTAAAGTGTGTCTAAATCAAAATGTGTGAAAATATTTAAAAAAAAAACTAACATACCTGTCCTTGTGAAATGGGAAATCGATGAAAGACGGTGATAACTGTAAAAATACTTTTCCACACCGTTCTGAAAACTCGACCTCTTTTCCAAGACGTGGCCATGCCGCCGATATAACAACCCCTTGTATAAATTTAAAGCTGTCGCGACTATTTGGTTTCACAGTTTGACATTCTTGCTGTCGGCATGTCAGCAGAGGAGCACGCGACTTGTGTGAGCGCTTAACGATGTACGCTGCTATTGATAGCGCGAGATTCATACGTCATCACCTCCCAGTTTCTGTGACCATGGCGACCTGACCGTGGGTCGACCCTGACTGCGCTTTTAGCGGTGTGTAACTTTTGTTTAATTAACTAATTTATGATTACATCATCAGACGCAGCTTGATTTGTTGAGTAATAAACAATTGGTTATGATATTTGAGAAGGAATTAAATGAAAATTCGACACAGGATACCAGACTGAAAAATGAAATTGTATAACTATATAATTTATTATTCTAGAGCCGCCCGTTGTTTGGAATTTAGGATACGGTTGTAAATCTTGTTTCAATTTATTATTTAAAAGTAGTTAATGGAGATTTGGTTGATAAGTCAATTAATTAATAACTACAAAATGTCGATAGATAATATGGAGACCTGCTACAGCCAATTTACATGTACAATTGTAATGCTATTCCGCTACATCGACTTAATTTAAGGATCCACGCATCACTGCCCCAAAAAACTTTTACTAGGCATTCGAAACTGTTTTCATGGTTTCGACCATATAGCTTTGATAAATAAATTTTCTTGAAAGAAAACTATAGCATACGGGACTGTTATGAAAACAAATAAAATAAAGATGAATTTAACAAAATATAATCTAACAACAATGTTTTAAGTGAAAATAATTCAGTGGGGTTATACTAGGGCCCGTATTATTCATGAAACCATTCTCATGCTCAAGCATGAATTCTATGCTCAACCAAACTTCCTCATAACTGGTTTAAATCATGTGACACGATAAAAAAATATATCTGTAAACATTTTACTTGGCATCCTGTTTGAAGTCTCTCCAAAATTCATCCAAATCATTTATCACTGGAACAAGACTTGAGCACAGATTCTGAGTTTGCGCATGAGAACAGCTTCATGAATATGGGTCCGGGATTTGAACCATGATCTTCAGATTGTTGTACTGTAACGCTGTAACCGATCGCGATTGAGCTATCTCTTCAACGGAAGTGTCCTGGCCTACTGTGCTACAGTTATATCCAAAACGAAATTTAAGTGGAGGTTAATGAAAAATCACAGCGCAGTGGGAAAAGAATCCTTAATTTGGTTTTCACATGATGCCACAGGACAAACTATTCATAAAACTTTGAAATCCCTAACTCATTCACCCCTGAAAACAAATTTGAATGCTTCCAATTCAAAGGTTGGACTAATTCATTATGAAACTTCAGGGGTGAATTAGTTAATTCAAGTTTTAAAATATAGGTAAAATTGTAGTATTACCTGTCAAATTAAGGAAATGTTCCCCATTCGATGTGAAATGTTTGGAATAAATTGAATATTTCGCGCAAAATTGATGTTTTTCGTTTCATTCAATGTGTTTGTAATACAACCACCACACAGTCGGTAAGGAAACACCTATTTAAACGTTTGGTAAATTGATGCAAAAACAAAAAACAAATCAAACATCTACTGAGTTATAAGGCATTTTCGTTCATTTTGGGCTCATCATTGTTACCAGTTCTGCTCTAAATTTTGAAATCCATAAAGTAAGAGGTTTTACGCACTTCCACTTCTGTTTCAACGTTAGTCCAGGCCAATTTTGAATTTCCAACTTCTTGGCCCCTAGCATCTACGATGAGTTGTAGAAGGTCGAAATGGTTATCTACTGTATCTATTGATACATTTTAAAGGTGCTATCACACGTGTGTATGATACGTTAGTCTTTCAAGATACAAGGTGGATTTCCAAATTTTTGGCCACTAGCATCACGATGTGTCATGGAAGGACGAAACAGCTGTATGATGCAGGGTAATTCATTTTTTGGCAAACTGTATATATTACCAAAATTTTAAAGATGCTTTCACCTCTGTGCGTTACGTTCATTTTACTAAAACCTCCGCAGCAGAAATATACAATATACACCTGTCGATTTTCAAGTTTATGGAGAACTTATAATGCGGTACCATGCTCTAGTGGAATGAATGTCCTATAGATATAATTATGTTGTTTATTATTTATATGTGACAAAAATAAATTTACTATCATAATAATATCTAGATATCTGAAAATGACTCCCATTTCTATCCCATATATCTGCAGTATATATAACGGCTACGGAGTTTCAAGGGCCTGTTGATTAGACGTCAGAGATCCAGACCTAGTCAACACTGATTGAAATCTATATAATGTAAGGCCAAACACCGTTAGTCAATTTCCCCAAGAGTGATATCGGGCCCAGTGTGAATTACAGTTATGATTTCTCATATCCCGGCTATCGTACGCTGTGCTAAGTAGGGTCCGTTTTACGGTATCACAACAATAATGACCTGGTAATTGATATTTGTCGGGTCAGCGACGATAGTCATCTGATAATAAATCAAACCGATAATCGTTGTCATTAAACAAGGAGGACGTAAAGGTCTGCGGTAGCTATAGGTTGTGTGTGTTTGTAACAACGTATGGTAAATGCACTGTCTGGGGTTGTCAGTGTACAGAAAAAAGTCTGTCTCGACCTGTACAGCAAAAGGTATAATTGTCACTGTACAGCAAAGGCATTGTATGGAGTTGTCACGATATAGCACAGACATTGCCTGGAGTTGTACAGCACAGACATTGTCTGGAATTATACAACAAAGACATTGTCTGGAATTGAACAACAAAGACATTGTCTGGAATTATACGACAAATACATAATAAGGAATTGTACAAGAAACATTGTCTGGAATTGTACAGAAAATACATGATAAGAAATTGTACAACAAAGACATTGTCTGGAAATGTATAACAAAGACATTGTCTGGAATTGAACAACAAAGACATTGTCTGGAATTGTACGACAAATACATAATAAGGAATTGTACAAGAAACATTGTCTGGAATTGTACAGAAAATACATAATAAGAAATTGTACAGCAAAGACATTGTCTGGAAATGTATAACAAAGATATTGTCTGGAAATGTACAACAAAAGCACTGTCTGGAATTGTACAACAAAAAGCATTGTCTTGAATTGTACAGTAAAGACATTGTCTGGAATTGTACAGCGAAGAAATTGTCTGTAATTGTACAGCAAATACATGATAAGGAATTGTACAGCAAAGACATTGTCTGGAATTGTCATCGTACAACAAAAACATTTGCTGGTAATGTATAGCAAAGACATTGTCTTGAATTGTGCAGAAAAGACATTGTCTTGAAATGTCACTGTACAGCAAAGAAATTCTCATGAATTGTACAGGAAAGACATTGTCTGGAATCGTACAGCAAAGACGTCTAATATTGTATGTTTGGGGTTTAACGTCCTCGTAACAGCCAGGGTCATATGAAGGCGGATGCGTATGGAGACACAAGCAGAGGAATGAGAAAGGAAATGATAAAGATCACAAGTGTTGCAAAGGGACAACGGATCATTGTTGGTGTTTTCAGTGTCCCCTAAAGTGAATACACAGTGGACGATCCCCGATTCTGCAGGGGCCCACATTAGTCGTCTCTTTCGATCATGTAGTGGGATACAACAGGCCAATTTCTAACTCGAACCTGCAGGGGTGTCTAATATTGTCGCTGTCTATCATTTTCAGATTTTCAGACGATTGATAGTATTGTCACTTTACAGTAGATACACTTTCTGATACTGTTACTGCCCAGAAGTCACTGTTTTGTATTGTTAGTATAAACACTGTACTTACTGTATACTAAAGACTATTGGTAGTATTGTCACTTTACAGTAGAGACACTTTCTGATGAGGTTTCTGCCCAGAAGTCACCGTTTGGTATTGTAAGTATAGACACTGTTGACACTGTGTACTAAAGACTATTTGTAGTATTGTCACTTTACAGAAGATACACTTTATGATACTGTTACTGCCCAGAAGTCACTGTTTGGTATTGTAAGTATAGACACTGTTGGCACTGTGCATTAAAGACTACTGGTAGTATTGTCACTTTACAGTAGAGACACTTTCTGATGGTGTTTCTGCCCAGAAGTCACTGTTTGGTATTGTAAGTATAGACACTGTTGTCACTGTGTACTAAAGACTATTGGTAGTATTGTCACTTTACAGTAGAGACACTTTCTGATGAGGTTTCTGCCCAGAAGTCACTGTTTGGTATTGTAAGTATAGACACTGTTGTCACTGTATACTAAATATTATTGTCACTTTACAGTAGAAACACTTTCTAATGCTGTTACTGCCCAGAAGTCACTGTTTGGTATTGTCCGTATAGACACTGTTGTCACTGTATACTAAATATTATTGTCACTTTACAGTAGAAACACTTTCTAATGCTGTTACTGCCCAGAAGTCACTGTTTGGTGTTGTAAGGTTAGACACTGTTGTCACTGTGTACTATAGTCGATTGGTAGTATTGTCACTTTACAGTAGAGACACATTAAGATGCTTTTACTGCCCAGAAGTCACTGTTTGGTATTGTAAGTATAGACACTGTTGGCACTGTGTATTAAAGACTATTGGGAGTATTGTCACTTTACAGTAGAGACACATTAAGATGATGTTACTGCCCAGAAGTCACTGTTTGGTATTGTAAGGTTAGATACTGTTGTCACTGTGTACTATAGTCGATTGGTAGTATTGTCACTTTACAGTAGAGACACATTAAGATGCTTTTACTGCCCAGAAGTCACTGTTTGGTATTGTAAGTATAGACACTGTTGTCACTGGGTGCTAAAGACTATTGGTAGTATTGTCACTTTACAGTAGAGACACTTTCTGATGGTGTTTCTGCCCAGAAGTCACTGTTTGGTTTTGTAAGGTTAGACAATGTTGTCACTGTATACTAAATACTATTGTCACTTTACAGTAGAAACACTTTCTAATGCTGTTACTGCCCAGAAGTCACTGTTTGGTATTGTAAGGTTAGACACTGTTGTCACTGTGTACTATACTCGATTGGTAGTATTGTCACTTTACAGTAGAGACACATTATGATGCTTTTACTGCCCAGAAGTCACTGTTTGGTATTGTAAGTGTAGACACTGTTGGCACTGTGTATTAAAGACTATTGGTAGTATTGTCACTGTACAGTAGAGACACTTTCTGATGAGGTTTCTGCCCAGAAG